TGTGTGTGTGTGTGTGTGTGTGTGTGTGTGTGTGTGTGTGTGTATGTGTGTGTGTGTGTGTGTGTGTGTGTGTGTGTGTGTGTGCTATCGCCATCCTAGAGGGAGTGATCACTATGGACGTCAGTGTGAAGTTGTGAACACAGAGTCACCTGTGAGGGCAAGTGGTGACAGAGATGACTATCATGGAGGAGGAGGAGGAGGAGGAGGAGGAAAAGAAGAAAAAGAAGAGAGGAGATTCTCATCAAAGTCAGGTCTGTGGGAAAGCTCCTAACATGTGGGCATGCATTTATGAGTCTATTTGTTGCGAAATCGCACCCAAAATGAGGGACATTTCACCCGCAGCAAACAATTACCAGCAGTCTATCAGTATTTATAGATGCATAAAATAGTGACACATATCTGAAGAGCCTGGGGTTCCAGCCTACCCAAGGTTGCCTTGGTATCCTTCTCCTTCTCAAATGCTGTAGTGAAGGAGTCCTCTTTCTTCTTCTGAAATGCCACATCAGGTCTTTGACATTTGCACTGCAATAATCTGTAGAATGGACTTCAGGCACCCACCCTCACAATGTGCCTTTTCTCGCCCGACTCTACCTGTAATCGCAGCCAGATACGTCTCGGAAAATCCTCTTTTCCCTGAAGCTAACCATCTCCAGAACTTCTACGTGCGCGTCGAAAACGAGCAAACAACTACATGCCTGGTCATATCAATCCCCCTCCACACCGCTATTCGGAGTCGAACCCTGGACTCGCACTGCACGTGCTGACCTCCTCAGGCACGCATGCCACGTGCATGAACATTGTCCCGAGACCGTTACAACCGCACTAAATCACCGGGAGCCGTCGCCTCCTCCCATCATCATCCCTTATGAATCGAACCACTCCCATCCCCGCCCTTAAACCACCAGTACGGCGGACCCTAAACTGCCGAAACTGATTTTTTTTGAGCCCAAATGAATCGAACCACTTCCATCCGCGCCCTTAAACCACCCATACGGCGGACCCTAAACTGCCGAAACTGAATTGTTTTGGGCCCAAAAGGCCCCAAATGAATCGAACCACTCCCATCCGCCCTTAAACCACCAGCAAGCACAGTGGACCCTCTATAAACTGTTGAAAGCCTGACACTGAATTTTTTGCACCCCAATGGAGCGAACCTGACCCATCCGCCCTTAAACCACCAGTACGGCAGACCCTAAAAGCTGCCGAAATTGTTTTCTTTTGAACCCAAATAAATCGAATCGGACTGCTCCGGGCCAGGCCGGTACACATTGAAAGTGTGGGCTCCTTGTGTTCGGCAGAATTTTTGCTCAAGGGGGCTCTTACTGGGGGTTTGACAACATGGCAACACAAGTTCTCAACAAAAAAAAAAAAAAAAAAAAAAAAAAACTATTTGTAAATTTTATTTTTTAAATTTTTATTCTAAATTTGGTGAAGAATTTCGATGTGACCCTCCTGAGGCAAAAGTTGTTCAGTTTAATTTTCTGCATAACATAGTAGTTCTTCAGATTTTTTGGATTTCTTTTTTTTTTTTTTTTTTTCTGCTGGGACCTTCTTTGGTCCTTGCACGGGCTGGCCACCGGGGACCCGGGCGGCCCGGCTGGTACCCTAGGATTCTACAAGGTGTTTGTAATAATCGTAGTTTTTTTGTACACAATCGTACCAGCTTCAGCAAAGCTTGGTGCGCAATTCTTTTCCGCCTCGGCAAAAAGAGGCTTGGAGGTAGTGGTGATTGGGCTGGGTGTTAGTGATTTAAAACCACCACTGGCGCCGCCAGCCATTTTGGTCAGGTGGGGGAAAAAAGGACAAAGAAAAGCTGCTAGCTAAAAAGAGGACAAAGAAAAGCTGCTAGCTAAAAGGAGGACACAGAAAAGCTGCTACTGTCTTTTTCACCCGGATAGAACGCCCAGTCATTATACCTGTTTTTGGGCTCCCTTTCAGTCCCGATGCAGCGATTTTGACCGGGCGTTCTTTTTTTTTTNAAAAAAAAAAAAAAAAAAAAAAAAACTATTTGTCAATCAGAGTGCTCCTTCCCAACAAATATTTGGCCTACTACGCCAATAGCACTCACTAAAACAATATCATATACCTCTCACCTGGTCCATACTACGCCCCGCTTCCTTCCACGTCAACAATCTCAAGGCCTAGTTGGACGGTCCTGCTGACAAGCAAAAAAAAGCAAAAAAAAAAAAAAATCTCTGTGATGAACTGAAAGTCTGCAACCCAAAACTCAGTGATGGGAGATCATGGGACTGCGCACTATATTTTCACCTCTGCATGAGGACACCAAGAGGGAGGGAGTTCCAAACTCCCCCTCTCTTGGCACCAAGAGGGAGTTCCAACTTGGGACCAAGAGGGAGTTCCAAACTCTCCCTCTCTTGGCACCAAGAGGGAGTTCCAGCTTGGGACCAAGAGGGAGTTCCAACTTGGGACCAAGAGGAAATTCCAGAGTCCCTTTCCTCATCTGCCCACCGAGCGGAAGTTCGATCGAAGAGGAAGAACCAAGAGGAAGTTTTCCAACTGGGACCAAGTGGACCCTAAACGCTGCTAGTGACATCTACTCACTTCCACCTAGCTCTCCTCTCCCCTTCCTTCTCTGCCCACCACCTTCCAACCCCCAACCGTGTGCTAATGCTCTGAAGTGAGCAAGTCTGGGAGTCTACAAAGTAGTACAAACATTATATACGCCGGCATGTACACAGTGCACTGCCCACAGCGTAAACATATTGTAGTCCATTTTTCAGCAAAATTAGAAAGAGCATCACATGCCATGCACGGTTTCACCGCATCGCATCCTTTACACTGTCGCTTTGCAAGATTCCCTCCATTCTCCCTCCCTCCCTCCCTCCCTCCCTCCCTCCTACAAGTGTTGGTTCATTCATCACCAGGAGTGGCTACTTCCTCTTCTCCCTCCACCGGTTTGCCTCAACTTGCAAATGCATCTCTGTGTCTAATTGGACACCTTAAAGGACCAAGTACATAGCCCCAGCGATGTTTAGAGTACGATCACCTTAAAGGACCAAGTACATAGCCCCAGCGACGTTCAGAGTTCGATTGAGCCTCTCGTAAAATTTTGGAGGCGCGCGCACGCCGTCGATAAAATAAATCGACGGTGGGCGGCGTCCGAACGGGGTCCGCGGCAGATGGCTGACATGTACTGGTGGTTTGCGGGAAGCACATCACACAAGAACCATTTCAAAGCCGAACAACATCACATACAGAACGGCATTATGCACTGCACCCGATCAATCTATCCTTCTTTCCTTCCCCCCCCCCCCCCTCTACTTCTTGAAGGCTGGTAATTCCCCTCCTTCCCCCACCCGCTTGCGTCCAACCACTGAGGCCTTATATTATACAATTGCCCAAGACTTTACACCAACAAACCACACAAGTCCAGTGAAAAAGCCAACACGAGCTTGCATCCGCCTACCACTGACGACCTTTCGTCTGTTTTCTCGATTGTTACAGCACCCTCCATCCTTCACATCCAGCATGACAAATATGCCTTTCCCACTCGGTCGCATGCTCTCGCCTCTGCCTTCATTGCGGACTAGGCCTCTCCCTCTAAGGGTCCCAATTTATCAGAAACGCTCCTGTGCCCTTTCCGGGGATGAACCTGCCCAGTATTTTGTCCCTGTCCTTGCCCATGAGAGGACTCTGGTTGTCGCAATGTTCGAGCCATCTGCCTCCACGAAACCACTGAGCGCTGCCACTCTCGAGCCGGCACCTGAGAATCCCAACACCACCCAGCCGATGCTAAAGACGATGAGTACATCTTTTACAGTCTAACTTGGACAAACAGGTATAGCACACGGGGGAGGGCGGGGGAGGGCGGGGGCGCGCATAGGGACGGGTAGGCAGCTCGCACTGAACTACACCAATGTGGTGAGCTTTGCGCCTGCCTGAGAGGCACACTAAGAAGAAACAAAAAAGTGAAACCGCCACAAAAGTCAAGCGAAAGAAAGAGAAGAAAGGACTGCACAGAAAATGGAAAAACAGACTAGTCACCGTGTGTCTCATGCTATCCGCTCTTTAATTCCTTTGTTCCGCAAATTGTTCCGCAAAGCGCGCTCTTTCAGTCGATACACATGTGACAAATTGACAATATATAGAGACAAGTACTCTGACAAAAAAAAAAAAAAAAAAAAAAAAAAACGGCCGTATGGCGTACGCTCACATCGTAATTCACAAGAAGCAAGTACTCGGCAAAAGAAATACAAAAAGACTAGTGTTGCACAAGCCGACCTTCGGGCACCCCTGACTGGTCGGCTGCCGACCCTCCGACCGGTCGGCACCCCGCAGAAACCCCTAATAACCCCACGAACACCTCCATACCTACCCCAAATACCCCCATACACCCCCCCAACACCCACAAACCG